GAACACCTTTCTGCGTAGGCGGCCTTCGGCCGCGCTTAGGAATTATAACCTCACAACGTAGAATTCTCCTTTCTGTGCTGCCGAAGAAAAGGGGCCTTTTGCATAGAACACCTTTCTGCGTAGACGGCCTTCGGCCGCGCTTAGGGATTATAACCCTTACTACGTAGATTTCTCCTTTCTGTGTGACCTAACTGGGGCTACCGCCCCAGTGATGTAACCTTGGGAAAGGATGAGGTAACTAGAATTCCCTTTCTGTGTGGTAAACCTGGGGCTGGCGCCCCAGTGATGTCTATTTTGGTTGGCCTTAAAGGAAAGCCAACTGCACCTTTCTGTGTAGGCGGCCTTCCGCCGCACTTAGGGGATTATAACCCTCACTACCTAGAATTCTTTCTGTGTTGCCGGAAGAGGGGAATATGACCACAAACCCCCTACTATTTATTTTTATCTGAACAAAAGAACCTTATCGTATTTTCTTTGGTCTTCCTTGCCACTCTTGGTGTTTTTAGATATGGCAACACAGCCCTGCTGGCATTTGTACATGTTCTGCATGTACTCTCATAAAATTAAACAACGATCAGTTTTTGATAAATAAAGCTGTAATATACTATAAGTATTTATTTGTTTGAACGTGCACACTCTAACTGCGCATATATTGAATGTAAATAACCTGTTAATTTAGTGGAAAGTGCATTATATATTGTAAAACAAGTTGGTTAAAATTACAAACTTTAATAACAAATTCCTTAAAAAGTATAAGGTTGCGCGCTTTGAAACTTCACACAGGGAACTGTTAGGCCCCCCTCTACCTCCCATATTTTCCTTAATGCTGTACTCCGGGCTTACCAATCTAAAGCCCACCCCTCACAAGCCAGCTTGACTTACATTCTTAAAATGTGGCCACAACAATAAATGCTAGGCATACAACTATTGGTTTGTATGTAGTTTCTAAGCAGCAGGGTCCTTCTTGCCTTTAACTTTCCTGCCAATTGCTGCGGCTGCCTCAACATCAATAGGTGCAGCCTTAACAAATGGAATTTCATTTTTATATTTTTCTGGCATATATTTTTTCAACGGTTCTGGCACTCGCACACCAGTCTCACTTTGATGGTTCTCCAGAATAGCACAAATAACTCGTGTAGTTGCGCACATTGTAGCGTTTAACATATGAACATAATCGACAGCCGAGTTCATTTTTTTCGTTTGGCCGTAGCGCACGAGCAATCTTCGGGCTTGATAATCTAAACAATTCGAACAGGAAACAAGTTCTCGGAATGCACAGCTGCCGCCAAACCACGCTTCTAAGTCCAGTTTCTTAGAAGCGGCATTATTAAGTGCTCCAGATACAATGTTTACAATACGATATGGTATATCTAGTGATTGACAGAACTTCTCTGCATTGTCAATCATTTCATCCATCATCTCCCAAGATTTATTGTCGTATGGAGAAGTGAGTACGAACTGTTCTACTTTTTCAAACTGATGAACCCGGAAAATTCCACGCGTATCGCGTCCATGGGAACCAACCTCTTGACGAAAACAAGTGGACAAACCGGCATATTTTATTGGCAGTGAAGATTCCGGCAACCACTCATCACGATGGTATGCAGCTATTGGTTGTTCGGAAGTCGCGATAAGGTATTTTTCATCGACCCCCGTTTCATCGCTACGTTCGCTACCTTTTCCTACCACCTTGTATAGTTCCTCATCGAATTGAGAAAGTTGTGCTACCTCCTGCATCACATCTTTACGCATAAAGAAAGGGGTATACAGTGGCGTATAACCACGATTGCTCAACATATGCAGTGAATGTTGAATCAGCGCTTGCTCAAGGAAAACTGCTGGGCCAGTTAAGAAATATCCACGACCACCAGACACTGCTGCACCCTTTTCCGCGTTCATGCCATCTATCATTACAATTAGATCTACATGCGAATATTTTCCACGATGTTGGCAATCACCAAACGTGCGCTCTACTCGATTTTCATTTTCATCATTAGAAACCGGCACTGACTCATGTAAATGATTACCGACCTCACGCAAAGCATTATTGCGCAACTGTTCTGCTTTCTGAAGACATTGCTCATTATCCGTCATTGCTGTATCAAGTAGAATCCGAACCTTTTTTATTTGATTTACCGACAAGGGACACAATGATTCAGAAGTGAGCTCAATCAAATTTTTTAAAATAGTATCAGGAACTTCTTCTGCTTCATTTCCTTGTGGTTCTTTTTTCTTCATTTTTTCACCAATCTCTTTGCTGCATAGGTTTTTTATTTTGTTTAAATTGTCTGCACGGTGTCGTCGATGACGCCATTCGGCATCTTGTTGGATGACTGCCTCCACAAGAGCCAAGTCCTTAAAACGTTTTTTCTGATTTTCTCTAATGACATCTGGGTTTCCGCCCTTATCGCTGCGAAACAAATCCAAATCCAAAACCATTGTGGTTTTCTGTTGTCACAATTAAATCACAACGTGGCGAAGAATTCTCCAAACGAACTTTTAGGAATTCTAAAGATACATCGATGTTTCGAAAGAATCGATATGATGGCAACACCATGGATGTTTTCTGGCTTTACTGGGACGCTACACGATCAAGACAACGACAATTTTCGGATCGTTAGCTAACGATTCCGGCAAGTTTCGTTAAGTGCTATTCTCAGGCACACTTTTAGTGAACATTGTCGGTAGCTTTAACAGTTGTCTAACGAAATTTGTCGATAGCGTAGCTACGAATATTTTGTCCTTGAAGAGCCTAACGATAAAATAGTTTTTTGGGAAAATTTTCCAATACGGAACCGGCTTTAAAAAAAAAACAAAAATGAGGGGGTTTAGAGCGGCTTTTTGTGATTGTAAATCTGAAAACCCCACCCTCCGTAGGCTTATAGTTTTTATGAAAATTGAATTTTAAGTTGCAAAAAATGTCAACTTCAACCTCACTTTTTGCTTTGTAAACCAATTGTACTACAATGTCGGTGCTGCACAAAACAAAAAAATGCCCAAAAAAAAAGCACTGAAAACGAGAAACAATAAAAACGGGCATTGTAATTAACTTTTTTTTTTAAATTAAATATCGATGTATTGATAAAAAAAAGTGATTCAGTCTAAAATCGAGAGATTTTGTAATACAAATGTTAACTTAGTTATTTATCGATTTTTATGGGAAAAGCGGCGCAGCCGAAAATTTTTAATAAAACATCGCGCGATTTTTTATTACAAATTTTCATTATTTATCGAAGTATTGATTTTTATGAAAAAAGGGCCGCAGGCGAAAATTAAAAAAAAACCCGCGCGATTTTTTATAAAAAATTTTCATTATATATCGAAGTATTGATTTTTATGGGAAAAGCGCCGCAGGCGAAAATTTTTAATAAAAAATCGCGCGATTTTTTATTAAAAATTTTCATTATTTATCGAAGTATTGATTTTTATGGAAAAAGCGCAGCACAAATAAGTGCGTATAATTAGGGGTATAAGTGTACAATACGTACATTGCTCTTATTAAAAATAATAATATTAGGATCGATAGGGGTCTTACTCCTGATCATACGGTATAAATAAATCGCGCGTTTTTTTATTAAAAATTTTCATTATCGAATTATCGATGTACGTTATGTACATTTGTATACTTTTAACTATAATAACACCAGTAAATATTATTTCCCCCCGAAAAAAATTATACCGTTATGATCAGGAGTAAGACCCCTATCGATCCTAATATTATTATTGTGCAATGTACGTATTGTACACTTATACCCCTAATTATACGCACTTATTTGTGGTGTATTTTTTTTAACGTATGGTAGCATACATTTTGTGTTACTGTCAGCCATTGTAATTTCTGCTTGTTTGTGAAATGTGCAAACGTTTGTGAAGACATTTATAAACGCGTTTTACTTAATTAATTAATTAATAATTGTATATTAAGGTATTACAAACGCATGCGAACCTTTTAAGGATAATATATTTGTGTAAATAAAAGTGATAGGTGTGGAGTTATAATAAAATGTGGTGATAGCAGGCGGGATATTTTAACAACAAATAACTTAAGTACTATTAGCAACAACATTGTGAAAGTGATAAATATAGTTAAAGGAGACCTCCAATAGTATCCCCACCGAGTTTCATAAAAAAATTCACTATACTTTGCACGGAATAGCAATTGGTTCCGTAATGGAAATATCAGCCAGTTTTTTTTAAAGAAAAATTAGACAAAATTCATGAATGAGCAAACTATTATAATAAAAAATGACTAATAAATAAACATTTATCACATACATATGCGTATGCTTATTGTTATTATCTATTTAATTTATTACACTGTGCAATTTGAAAACTTAGGCAAAATTTTTATAGTTTTCCTTACTTAATTACGGCATTCCAAATTTGATGGCTCCCTCCATTTTGTCAGATTGGCTCCTGTTTTCGAGATAACCGTACTTGAAAATTTGCTTCAATTTTAACTTTTTTGTAAACAACTCTCTGTCTTATACCATGTTCTGACCGCTGTTGGGATTGTGGGTTGAAGCCTTCTTACACCGGCTGTTCACACCGGCTGTTGGTGTTTTCGTTGACATTTCTTACATCCTTCGTTTACAGTTTTGCTAAAAAAAAAAACAAAATACCTTTCTTTCATTTTCTTCTCACTGTATAGCATTCTTTTTCTTTTATTGTTATTCTAATTTGGCCAGCCAATTAACAATAAATCCGAACTGGCATATTAAAAATGATAAAATGTGACATTCACTTGGATGAATATTGGAAAAAGTCTATAGCAGACACCGATTGGAATGGGAGGAGCGTGAGTTTTCAAGTGGTTTTCGTTTGACAGATTTTACATGGACGAAAACGCACGTTTTAGCTAAAAAACTCACGTTCCACTCATTCCAGTCGGTGTCTTTACTAGTATTTTAGATATGTTTATTGCAGTGGAAGTCATATTTTATTATCTATAATACGCTGGTTGGGATTTAGTAGCTTTATTTCTTAACAGATAATTATCACAAATTATCACTAATTTCTGCTGGATAGCGTTTCTTAACCCAAAAAACTACCAGAAACTAGCAGCTCTCTCTCGTTCTTACGCTCTTATTTTTTTGGCTCTCCTGCTAATTTCTGCTAGTAATATTTTTACTAGCAGCTGTCAAAATGGGTAAACAAAAATTCGGGCCAAATATTTACAATAGTCAAATACATCGATCAGCTGTTTACTGCTAGTTTTGCTTTTCTTTACTTTTTCTTTATTTCGCTCTCTGTGAGCGTAATTCTCGCAATTTTGCCATTCTTTTTCTTCCTGATAATTATCTGCTAGAAAAGAAAAGAAACAAAGCCTTTGTCAATTGGCTGGCCAAATTAAAATATGAATAAAAGAAAAGGTTGCTAATGATAAGAAAATGGGGTAGTAGTGCACTTTACCTTCTTCTTAATCTTTATTGGCGCTGTAAACGCCTAAGCGATTTTGGCCGAGTCCAAAACAGCACGCCAGTCATTTCTCTTCTGTGCTAACTGACGCCAATTGGAAATGCCAAGTGAAGCCAAGTCGTTCTCCACCTGGTCTTTCCAACGCAGAGGAGGCCTTCCTCTTCCTCTCTTACCAGCAACGCGGCCCGCGTTGAATATTTTCAGAGCAGGAGCGTTTCTGTCCATTCGAACGACATTTAACTCGCTGCACTATGTCTATATCGTTGTAAAGCTCATACAGCTCATCGTTAAATCGTCTGAGATATTCGCCATCACCAACACGTAAAGGTCGGTAAATATTTCTCTCGAAAACTCCAAGAGCCGCCTCATCAGATGCTTTCATTGTCCATGCATCTGCGCCATACACCAGCACAGGCATGATGAGTGACTTATAGAGTGTGATCTTTGTACGACGAGAGAACTTTACTTCTCAATTGCCTACTCAGCCCAAAGTAGCACTTGTTGGCAAGAGTGATTCTCCGTTGGATTTCAAGGCTGACGTTATTATTGGTGTTAATGCTGGTTCCCAAATAAACGAAGTCGTCTACTTTTCAAACTTGTAACTATCAACAGTGACGTGGCTGCCACGACGCGTATGCCCTGACTGTTTGTGTGATGACAGAAGATACTTCGTTTGGTTCTCGTTCACCACCACACCCATTCGCGTTGCTTCTCTATCCAATCCCGAGAAGGCAGAACAGACGTAGCCCTTGTTTTACCAATAATATCGATGTCGTCGGCATACGCCAGCAATTGTACGCTCTTGTAAAGTATTTTGCCTGAGCAGTTCAGTTCTGCGACTCTTATTATCTTCTCTAACATCAGATTACAGAAATTGCACGAAAGAAAGTCCTCTTGTCTGAAACCTCGTTTGGTATCAAACGGCTCGTAGAGGTCCTTCCCTATTCTGACGGAGCTGGTGGTATTGCTCAACGTCATTTTACACAGCCGTGTTCGTTTCGCGGGGATACCAAATTCAGACATCGCGGCATAAAGGCAACTTCTATTCGTGCTGTCGAAAGCGGCTTTGAAATCGACAAATAGATGGTGTGTGTCGATCCTATTTTCGCGGGTCTTTTCCAAGATTTGGGGTATTGTGAATACCTGATCTAAGGTGGTTTAGCCAGGCCTAAAGCCACACATATAAGGTCCAATCAGTTCGTTGACGGTGCGCTTCAGTCTTTCGCACAATACACTCGATAAGACCTTATAACCTATGCTTAGAAGGCTGATTCCGCAGTAGTTGGCGCGAATGGCGGGGTCGCCTTTCTTGTGGATTGTGCAGAGCACACTTAAATTCCAGTCATCGGGCATGCGTTATCTGACCATATTCTGCATACGAGCTGATGCATGCACCTCATCAGCTCCTCGCCGGCGTACTTGAATAGCTCGGCTGGCAGGCCGTCAGCTCCAGCAGCTTTGTTGTTTTTCAGTCGCGTAACCTCTATTCGTACCTCGTCATAATCAGGCGGTGGGACAGCTACTCCATCATCATCGACTGCAGACTCGGGTTCGTCTTCTTCACTACTTTCAGCGCTGTTACCAATCAGTAGGTTGTATAAGTGTTCCCTCCACAATTTAAATACATTCTGGACATCGTCCACTAGGTCGCCATTGTTGTTCTTACAGGAGTTCGCCCCGGTCTTGAAACCTTGCGTAAGTCGCCTAACCCTCTGGTAGAATTTTCGGGCATTCTTCCTGTCTGCCAGCATCTCAAGCTCTTCGCACTCACGTATTTCGGCCTCTCTCTTCTTATTGCGGCAAATACGTCTCGCTTCCTTCTTCAGTTCCCTATAACGGTTCCACCTGGCTCGAGCTGCGCCCAATCGCAGCGTAGCCCTATAGGCGGCGTATTTTTTCTCTACGGCTTCTTGACATTCCTCATCATACCAGTTGTTCTTTCTGGCTCCCTGAAATCCAACAACTTCTTCGGCGGCGGTACTTAATGTTCGGGAAATGTGGTTCCACTGCTCGCGTATGTCGGATTGTTGAAGAGTGTCCTCAGAGAGCAGGTGTGTGAGTCGAGTGGCGAATAAATTGGCCGTAGGTTGTGATTGCAGCTTTTGACGTTAAGC